GAGAGAATACATTTCATTTTTGGAGATGAGGGTTATTAGGAGGTGTTAAGGAACTTATACGCTGTAGGTTTAACAACTAAAAAGCCAGAGTGTGTTGTGACGGTGAAGGCAGCCATGAAGGGATGGGCTTGCCCGGCCGTCCATGCTCTTTGTTTTTAGGGTGGAGAGTGAGACGGGGTGAACCTCCTCTCCCTGCGGTCTTCCAGGAACCTGTCCTGACAGATCAGAAGGAAGGGCTCAGAGGACGGTGCAAAAGCAGCCCAGGAAGACACAAAGATCCCTCCACGGGACTCTCCCTCCCAAGCAGCTCTTTCCTCAAATCCCCAAATTATCCTCTGACGTCTTGCTTTTCTCCATCTCATCTAGACACGCGAGACTCTGCTCTCTGCATCCCTTTCCTCCCCAGCACCGTGAGCTGGCAGCTGCCCTGATCCTTGTGGCATTTACTGCGTCTAGGGTCATCAGGGCGTCCAGAATGAGAAGTCCAAAGGCTCTGCTTCCTTCTCTGCTTTGACAGGTGGAAAAGCAACCCCTCTCTTCCCAAGGCTGCCCTCTGGTCTCCCCTCCCTGCTGTGTGCTCCTGCTTCTCCTCCCTGCACTGACCACAGTCTCGTGCATAATCCTCTTTCTCTCTTGACTCTTCATACCACAGCCGTCTTCTCTTCTCACTTAGAAGCCTTTCTCCACACGCCAGCTTTTGCTGCCACCACATGCAGACTCACCCTCTGACCCTCATGCTGGCTGGGCCTAGCTCACGGGGTCCCCTGCACACCTCAATTTCCAGAGTCAGAGTCAGCACACTCACACCTAAACAACCCTTGTGCTGGCATCCACATCCACCCCTTTTCTAAGGAAGTAAGGAAGTGAACAATACCCACTGAGATTTAAGCATCCCCTGACAGTGTCCTCTACCGTGAGCACTCCGCTAACCTTCCTACATTAACGTTGAGTCCTGTGCCCTGGGACTATGTCAGTGACCCCCGACCTGTCCCTCAGCCCCGCCACCTGGTGAGAAATGGCCGCACGGTGCTCCACGACAAAAACTGCACCCTGAACTAAAATCTCCTTCACAATCTGCTCACAATCTGCTCTGCTCTCTCAGGCCCACCGTGTCCATCTCGAAGACTGCACGTGACCTGGTGTCCTTCTCCAGGCAGGCCCGGCTCTGAAGCCCATAATCAGCAACGAGGAGCTGCTGGGAACAACTGGAGACACGCTGCACTATTCTGCTCTCGCTGCAGTGGCCAACTCCTCTCTCTTTCCACCCAGCTTGGACACCATCTCATCCAGGAAACTCTCTCTGACTGTTGTCTGCCCCCTGCCAGCCCCCAAGGGTGTAACAGTCTGTAGGCTTTCCTGTCCTTTTCCTTAACACAGCAGGTAGCAGGACAGACATGGTGACCACACAAAGGGACACGAAGAATCCCTGTTAGTCTCCTTGGGATTTAGCTTGTTGTCACAGGCTAGTACGGGGGCAGAGGGAAAGGTCTGGCGCATACGCTGAAGGGAACGAGACAGGTGAGTACAGACCCACAGGAGGACTGGGTGTGAGAGGAGCCTAGTGCAGGCCCTCTGCCCACACGCCGCAGCCCCACACAGCAGCACAGGGCCTGATCCCAGGGTGACAGCTCAAGCCAGTGAGGGCGGAGGTCTATGGAGAACAGAGCCGAAGGGGATGACAGACAGACAGGCTCCGAAAGCACTAATGCTGAGGGGTGCGGGGAGGGGGGGAATGTGGAGATAAACGGGGGAAAGGTGGAGGGGTTACCAACTGACAGCAGAGAAGAGTTCTGACTTGAATGCGTGGTATTGTCAGCGGGGATACACTTAGGACTCTGAAACATTATCTGTGCCTTCATAATCTAACAACACAATAAAAATCATTGTCATTTAATCAATAGTGTTTTAAAATGTTTGCCAGATGTGGATAACAACGGTGGCCCCCTGTGCTCCCTCCCCAATGCAGCAGCACCCACCTGAACAGTGCTAGACCCACAGCATTAGCTCAAGAAGCAAGTAGCTTAAGACTCCTGGGTCAGAATCCCCCACAGGTGCCATCCTGGCAACCTTGCTATTACCATTGCAGGTAGGAACCATCTTGGAACCCACCCTCTTTACTCTCAGACCCTTAGGGCAAACTCCTGATGAGAGTGCTGCTCCCCTCTGTGAAGTAGTTAAGCCATCTGAGAGGCAAGTGACAGCTATCTGGGGCATCCACTCCTAGGAAACAAGGAGCCCCAGCACCCCTGCACCTGCCTGCTAGCAAGTGAGCTCATATCCAGCCCCAGAGCAGTCTGCATGGACCACCTGTGCTGGCAGTGTAGCCATCTGGACATGCCGCCCACATCCTAGCCAGCTGGTCAAAGCCAAGGCTGAGCCCACAGCACTGTCCACTCAGCTCATCATGGTCCAGGGCCACCGCCAAGCCCCACCAATGCACCCCAGTTTGGCTGAGCTGCCAGTCACACATGGTACTGCCGGCCACAACAGCCACATGGGTGTAGTCCACAAAGCGGACACACAGTTGAGAGATGACTAGGGACTCTTGGGGGAGGGTGGACTGTGTCCTTAGACTTACTGAGTTAAAACCAAGTGCATAAAACCACACCCTCAGAACTAAGATAGGTAGCAATGGATTTCGATAGCTTGTATATTCCTTTCGCAATGATACATATTTCCCTCTACCAATCTATGCAGGGATTTCTCCCACAAAGCAATCCTGAGTCTGTAACAACATCCCAGTGTGCTATGCTTTCCATGCTTTCCCTTTTAAAATCTGATTCTGTTGTAAACAGACATTGCTAAAACATTACCTGAGAAAGTGGAGCATAAATCACATGGGAGAGGTCCAGAAAATGATGCCTTGTGTGCCCCTTAGAAACACATCCTGGAGTCCCCAGGGGCAGGCAGAGCAGCCACTACCACAGGCAGTTCAGCTAGCCCGGGGCCACACCTCTAGCATTAGCTGCCCTATGACACTGGGGAGCTCAGCATTGTTAAAACGACCATTTTACCTAAAGCAATATACCAAGTCAATGTAATCTCCATTAAGACCCCAGGGGTATTCTTCACAGGAACAACAAAAAGTCCTGAAATTAGTAAGGAATCAAAAAAGAACTTGAATAACCAAAACAATCCTGGGGAAAAAAAAAAAAAAAACAAAAGTAGAGATATGCTCCCTGACTTCAAACTAGATGATAAAGTATGGTATTAGAATAAAATTAGGCACATAGATCAATAGAAAAGAATTAACAGAGGAGAAATAAACAAATACACACATAGAAAATTTATGACAGAAGAAACAAGTATATAAATGGAGAAAATTGTCTTGTCAATAAATGGTGCTGGGAAAACTGGACAGTCACACACACAGAATGAAATGAGAGCATTGTCTTATACTACATACAAAAATTAAAGTCGAGGGCCTCCTTGGTGGCGCAGCGGTTGAGCGCTGGGTTGCGAGGTTGCTCGCAGCCTCTGCAGCGCCAGTTCGATCCCCGGCTGCTCCCCGGCCACTGGAGGAGGGTCCCACATGGCGCGCAGACCTCTCCTGCCGCCCGCTGCTCCCCTCAGCAGTGTACTTCTGTCCTTCTGCCTGCTCTGCTCCCCGCTCTGGCTCTGGTGAGTTCTCTCACCCTCCCGTGCTTCTGACTGTACCCAGTGCTTGTATGTATGTATGTATCAATTAATCAATCACTCAATCAATAAATCTTAAAAAAAAAAACTGTTAAAAAAAATTAAAGTCGAGTGGATTAAAGACTTGAATATAAGTTCCAAACCCATAAAATATATATAAGAAAACATATCTAATAAGCTCCTTAACAAAGGAGAATATAAACAAATGGGGCTAAACCATTTGTACAAAAAAAAAAAAAAAAACTTCTGTGCAGCAAAATAAACCAATTGAATGAAAAGGAGGCAACTGAAAGGGAGAATGTATTTGTATCAGATAAGGGGTTAGCACCAAAATACATCATCAGCTCATAAAAACAACAAAAAAAACCTCATTAAAAAATGGGCAGAGAATCTAAACAGGCATGTCATCAAAGAAGACATTCAATGGACACATGAAACCATATTCCTCATTGCTTGCCATTAGGGCTGACTGAAACCATGATGAGACTTCACCACACACCTGCTAGAATGTTACCATCCAAAAGGAAAGAAATAGTGCAGTGAAGATGTGGAGAAAAACGAATCCTATGCACTGCACGTGGCAGTGTAAATTGGTGCAAGCACTGTAGAAAAGAGCCTGGCATGTCTTCAAAAAGTTAAAAATAGAAGAACCACATGATCCAGCAATTTTACTTCTAATCCTAACCCTAACCCTAACCCTAACCCTAATGTGAAAAGCTCTGTGCACCTCTTTGTTCACTGCAGCAGCATTAGCAGCAATAGCCAAGTTATGGAAACAATCCAAGTGCCTTTCGGCAGAAGACTAGAAAAAGACGATGTGCTATATACATAATGGAATGCTACTCAGCTATTTTTTAAAAAAAATATTGCCATTTGCGACACCATGGATGAACCCTGAGGTATGATGCTAAATGAAATAAATCAGTAGACAAATACCGTATCATGTAATTCCTTTGTGCATTAAAAATATAAGCTATAGAGAGCAGAATGGCAGTTCCCAGAGGGAAAAGAGGTTGTGGGGCCGGGGGAACTGGTAGAGGGGTTTCAGTTGGCTGGTGGTGGGGTTGGTGTGAACATAGATGTTTAGGTGTGAAGCTGTGCCCAACCAGTATTAACTGAAAAAAAAAAGCCTACCAGTTAGTGCAACCTGTTGGCATTTTAGAACACATTTCAAAGTTAGAGGATCATAAATACCACAGAAATAATACCTTTTGGGTGTCATGTAACCAGGTCCAGTGCTTGGTTACATGATCTGAATTTTGCCCAGCTTTCGTTTTGAAATAATTTTTCACAAAGCATGAAAAATAAAAATCATTCTAGTTCCTCCCTCTTCATGTATTATTTTAGTATCTGAGAACACTCACCACAGATGAAGCAAGTTGTCTTTAGAATTTCTTCTTTCTTCTGTTTTTCACTTCTGAGATCAGCAAAAGTATCAATGATAACACCAAAAATCAAGTTGAGGACGATAATGATAACAATGAAATAAAATAGAAGGTCATATACCACTCGGGCTGCAAACAAGGGCTCCTGAAATAAAAAATTAAAAGATGTAAATATATACACACATTCACATTTTAAAGGCATGTTGGTTTTGGATATTGCCCAGCATACAGAATAGTCAACAGCTAAATGAATATAAATACACTACTCCAATTAGTCAATAGCTAAATGAATATAAACAGACTACTCCAAATTGGAGGGGGAAAAAAACATTTTCTCTTTATTTTTATAGTTGTGAGAACAACTTCCCCACCTGTCCAAGAGCCCCTCCCCTGCTCTTGGATATGCCCTATCTCTCCCCCTGCCATGTTTTATTAACAATCATTTTATCACGTAAACCACTAAATCAATCTTAGGGCAGTGGGACGCTCTCCCAGAGGCTGCACAGAAGGCAGGCAAATGCCAAATCTAAAAGTCAGCAGTTAGACAGCTGAAGAGGGCTATGATCAGTCAGTTTCTGCAACAGGTGTTCTTGGACCAACAGGGTCAAGTACAAAAGCTCAAGCTCATTTCTATTTGACCAACAGTTTTAAAACATAAATGTCCAGCCATTTCACAGATGAAGAAACAGTAAGTGAACTGAGAATGTGATACCGTGGAAGAATGGACATTTTTTTCAAGCTCCCAGCCTGGCATTCAAGAACTTGTAATTAATGGGAAACTTTTCAGCTTTGTCATTTTAATATATGAAGTCTGTTAGATTGTGTTCAAGCTTTATATTCATCAGGGATAAAGAATGGTGTCTATTCCTTTCTAGAGGCAAAGGGCTCACCTTGGCTGAGGAACCTGACAGACAAGCAGCAGCCCAGCTTCTGTTATTATATAACAATCAACTCCTGAAGGTTGGTAGCCACGATTTTGTGGCTGGAATACAGCACACAGTTCCAATCTGGAAATTTTTCATCATCTTACTATTTTACACAGGAATTGAGTGTATTTGCTATGTCAATATAATCCCCATATACAATTAATTGGTTTTAATGGTGCCTGTTCTTACTTTGAAAGCAAATGACACACCATAGCACCCTGAAAACCAAAGCCACAGTGCACAAGCTATTAAGAAAGGTTGAAAGACTGATCAAGGGCTTCTTGAAAATATACTTCTCCAGCTTACGTCTTTCGATGGTCTCCTGAGCACGTCGCCCACGCCGCCCCCGTTCCTGAGACCCTGGTTCAGGACGGTGACAATGCACATGAGAAGGGTGTCACAGGTCCTCTCAATGCCGTCTTCATACTCTCCATCTGCTGCAAGGACAGACAGATTAAACAGTGCTGCAAATGCACGTTCAAAAATATACTACTAGCTGCTTCCAAAGATCATTTTCTTTGTCACTGTGTCATGATGCGATTTTTTTTTTAAATAATAAATTTTATTTTTATATTCCCCATACAATTGCAACCCCCCCCATTTTGATCCCAATCCCTCCCCTTCCGCCCCCCAGCCCCCAAAAAGTGTCTCTGGTTCATAGTTTTTCGTTGATTTTGATTTTCACTTTCTTATAGTTATTCATTTTCCTGGTCCCTTATTTAAGTTTTCTAGATTCCTGCTATGAGTGAGACCATCCGGTATTTTTCTTTTTCTTTCTAGCTTATTTCGCTGAGCATGATGCGATTTTTTAAAATATTTTATTTTATATAATTCTGACATCATTTTTCATTTTTGCACAATATATGCATTTTCATTTTGGTTATATTCCCCATACAATTGCATGCCCCCTTATTTTGACCCTAATCCTTCCTCTCCTCCCCCACCCCTGTGTGTCTCTGGTTTATAGTTGCTTGTTGATTTTGATTTTTTTCTTTATTATAGTCTTTTTCCTGGTCCCTTATTTAGGTTTTCTAAATTCCTGCTATGAGTGAGACCATCTGGCATTTTTCTTTTTCTTTCTGGATCATTTCGCTGAGCATGATCCCTTCCAGCTCTATCCATGTTGCTGCAAATGGCATGAATTTATCGTTTTTGATTGCTGAGTAATATTCCATTGTGTATATGTACCACATCTTCTTTATCCAATCATCTATTTTTTGGGCATTTGGTTTGTTTCCATAGCTTAGCTATTGTAAATAGTGCTGCTATAAACATAGGGGTGCAGGTGCCCTTTTGAATTAATGTTTCTGTGTCATTTGGGTAAATACCTAGGAGTGGAATTGCTGGATCATATGGAAGCTCTATCTTTAGTAGGTTGAGGAATCTCCACATAGCTCTCCATAGTGGTTGGACCAGTTTGCACTCCCACCAGCAGTGCAGTTGAGTTCCTTTTTCTCCACATCCTCACCAACATTTGTTGTCACTAGTTTTTTTAATATGTGCCATTCTCACTGGTGTAAGATGGTATCTCATTGTAGTTTTGATTTGCATTTCCCTGATTACAAGTGACGTAAAACCACAGATTTATGGTCAACTAATCTTTGACAAAGGAGCAAAGAATATGCACTGGAGCAAAGAAAGTTTGTTCAATAAATGGTGCTGGGAAAACTGGGTCACTACATGCAAAAGAATGAAGCTTGACTACTACCTCACACCATGCACAAAAACCAACTCAAAATGGATTAAAGAAGTAGACATAAGACCTGAAGCCATAAAATATATAGAAGGAAATATAGGCGAGACACTACATGACATGCACCTCAAAGACATCTTTATAGACACATCACCCAAAGTAGTGATAGTGAAGCAAAGATAAACAGCTGGGACTACATCAAATTAAAGAGTTTCTGCACAGCAAAAGAAACAATAACCAAAACAAAGAGAAACCCCACCGAATGGGAGAAAATTTTTGCACACAACACTAATGATAAAGGACTGATCACAAAAATCTACAAAGAGCTTATGAGACTCAACAAAAACAAAGAAAATAATCCAGCCAAAAAATGGGCAGAAGAGCTAAAAAAAAAACTTCTCCAAAGAGGAAATGCAAATGGCCAACATATACATGATGTGATTTTTTGAAGTCACATGTCATCAGTTTTGGAGATGCCGGCACATGACTGACTCAGATGGTTGAAGCTACAGGTATAACATCCTGAATGATTTCTCCACTGGAGGTGGAAACCACAGCTCTTGAAAAGGGCAGCGTATAGAAAGCCAGTAGGGGGCTGCCTCCTGGCGGTGTGGGGAGACTGGGGTGAAGCCTTCTGGAAACACCATCAGCTCACTAGGAAGCAAAGGGGCTTCAGGGCAAAGAATGTGCACAGGGAGCTGGAGGGACCTACTTCAAATTCTACCCTGTCCCAGCACTGGGACCTGGGCAGTGACAGTCTCAATGCCCTCATCTGTAAAATGGAGGAGGGGACTATTTAAGGATTAAACCCTTCAGAGGATTTAAGACAAATGTCAAACACTTTGCAAGGAGATTAGTGGAGCCAGAATAGGTACTTAGTGATGTGGACTGATTGTTCATTCACTTGGTTAAGTGGCTGCTAAGCCTTCTTAGTGGCCAGCATGGAGCCACAGATAAGCATCATGTTTTCATGTGAAAAAGTGGTGCGAATGTATTTCTTGGAAATTATTTAGAAATAAATGGGGAGAGAGCATAAGCCATAACATGACAGTAACCTCCCTAATCTCATCTTGTTTAAAGGTCCAGTCACCAAATGTGGTATTATTTCCCCAGTCAATTAAAATGGTGAGAAGTTCATGCTACATTGGATATGAGAGCCAGGATTGTACTTTTGCTGTTGCAAAGTCGAAGGACAGCTGGGGCGCTGAATTTTGGAGTTGGATACCCACAGTCTTCATGTCAAGAAGTAACTGTTAAAACCACCACACCCAAAGGGGAAAAGGAAAGGGTCCATCTGGGTTGTCTACACCACCCATGACAGGCAGCTTGTGGTACTTTGTTATGAAAAGGCTGATTTCCTCTCCTGACCTGATTTGGTTATCACATGGCTGAGGGGTCCCAGTATTTTCACTTTATTCTGAGCTGCTTTTGTGTGAAACACGTGGGGAGACACTCCAGACCAGGCACGAAGACAGCTGGGCAATCACAAAATGCAGCAACGATGAGACCAGCAGACTGAGCCCCAAGGCACATCTGGAGTTGGAAAGTAGAAGTAAAACAGCTTTCGGAGGAAGGAGAAATGGGGAAGAGGTGAGGCTGGTGGGGGCTGCAGCAAGGAGGCAAGGAAGCAGAGAAGGCAGTGAGGAAGCTCAATCTGTCACAAACTGGGGTGCCAATGATGCTGGTGAGTTCTATGGGGGTGACCCGGCAGAATGGGAAGAAAAACAGAAATGTGTAAGAGAGTTAAAGGAAAATGAAAAGAGACACATGGTACTCTAGTAATGAAGTTATGGGGACTATGTCTCTATGCTACTGTGCCCGTCAGACTTTCAATCAAGCCATTTTCTATTTAGTGGTAGGATCTACATTTATTGGTTAATCAGCAGCTACCTAAGTGTATCACACAAATGTTTACAAATACTTACTATTGATAGTTTTATAGTCCTTGACATATGGAAACAACCTGAGTCCACTGATGGATGAAAATGTGGTGTGCACGCACACACACTCACACACACACACACACACAACCAGTCCGCCTTTAAAAAGAAAATCTGGCCATTTGCAACATGGAGGATACTATGCCAAGTGAATAAAAGACAAATGCTCTTTGATCTCACTAAAATATAGACTCTAAAAACAACAAAATGCCCTCATAGATACAGAAAACAGACACTGGATGCAGGAGGCAAAATAGGTGAAGGAAATTAAATAGTACAAATTTCCAGTTACAAGTAAGTCCTGGGATGCCATGCACAGCATGATGACTATAGTTAATACCACATTGAGCCCTTGAAAGGTGCTAAGGGAATAGATCTTTAAAGTTCTTATCAAAAAACATTTTAATCTGTGTGGTGATGAATGCTAACTGCTGTAGACATCTTTGAGCAACATACACAAATATTAAATCCTTATGTTGTACTCCTGAAACCAACACAATGCTGTATGTATGTCAACCATGCTTCAATTTGAAAGGAAAAAAAAAAGCAACTTTGTAGCTCAAGGTTTCCCAGCACACAGAATCTATGGCTAAGTGTTTCCATCTCTTGTCAAGTAGTCAGAAATGATGGTGTTTGTTCTTTACACAGTAACCTAATAAAGCCCACACACCATTCGTGTGACTAGCCATTGCAAAAGAAAACAGACTGGGTACAAATACAGAATGAGAAGCCTGGCTTTCTGTGTGGCCTGCACCCAGGGAGAATACCCAGGCCAGGCTAAGGGTAGCAACTGTCCGCCAACCTGCTCCATAACCATCAGTGCAGACCGCGCCACTTGTGTAGAGTAACCTCTACGAGCTAGGTGATTAGGTGCCACCTTTGCCACGTGGATCCACTTAAATATGCTAATCAAGAGCCCAGTCCTTTAGGCTGAAAGCCAGCCCTGAATCATAGTAAATTCACGTGAGGAAATGCCTTGTGGGCACCTGTCACTGCGACCAGCTGGACTTTGCCACACCAAACTGGCCTTGTACCATGACACTGCCAGCCCTGCGCCAGGTGCTAGGAAAACAGGTGGGAAGCTTAAAGTGCGCAGCCCCTAGGAAACCGGAGGCCTCCAGGAAAGGTGGGTCAGCAGGTGGGCAGAGGCAGGGTACTGAGGAGACAGATGAATGAGACTTTCTTGGGCTGGCGCCTTAGGGGTGGCATCCTGACGGGGCTGGCTGAATGTGGAAAGGGGCATGCCTGGCCAGCAAAATCAGCAAAGCAAGATACTTCAGGCAGATAAAATGAACCGAGCCAAGGCCAAGAGGCATGAACATGTATCAGATGCTTGGGGAACTATGGGTGGCAGGGCCGGTGGTATGTGTGCAAAGAGTGGGGCTCATGAGAAGGGGCGCAGGCACCCCCCAAGCTGAAGAATTTCAACTTTATCCTGAGAGTTAGAGATCCACTGGAGAACTCTAAGCAGGGGCAAGGAGGTTGACTCTTTAGTGGGTGAAATGGGATGAGACAAAACATGTTGCTAAAATAACACAAATTAACATGATGAACATCACTGGAGAGAGAACCGCCAATGCTGTGGCTAAGAAAGTACCACCCCACAATTAATGTAGACTCTGGGCTCACCTTTTATATTCAAGGGACTAAGACGGGAGCAGAGGCATTTATATCGCACAGGCAGAGGAGCCAGAGGGAGAACAGCAAATAAACCAGTCTGTAAGGAGTGGAAGACAGAGCTGGGAGATAAACAGGGGACTCTTTGTGAGGCTCCAGGGAGATTGGGTTTTGTTTGGCAGGCAATGGGGCATGGTAGAAATCTTGGGTAGGGGGTAGAGGAGGAAATATTCAAAGCAGTGATTTCTGACAAGTATCTTGTGGTGATATATGGGGTGAACTGAAGAGGAGAAAATGACCAGGGGTAGAAAGACCACTTAGGAGACCATGGCCATAATTCAGGCATGATGTGCTACGAGCCTCAACAGGGTAACAATGGCCGGGAGATGGGGCAGGATGGATGATCAGGAGCTAACGGGACTCTAGGCAGGAGGGAGAAGGCAGCATTAAAGAGCATGCAAAAGGGTCCAGTCAGAGGTGACTTGGGAAGGACCTGTCAGACCAATGAAACAGATAATTTTTTTAATTTTTTTGTATTAGGACTGGAGTGTAGGCCAGAGGTGTGGGGGGTGAGAGGATTCACCAGAGACAGAGTTGCCACCCAGAGAGGCAATCCAGAGCAGAACAGGCAGACTGACTGAAATACACTGCTGAGGGGAGCAGCCAGTGAGACAGAAGAGGTCTGCTGCACCATGTGGGTAGCTCCCTGGCTGGGGATTGAACTAAGGCCTGTAGTGGTGATAGCGCTGAGACTTAAGCCCCAGGCCACCAGGATGGCCCGGAACAGATAATTTAGAAGGAGAAACGGAATGTGGGGGATTTTGATGAAGACAGGAAGATAGCAAATAGTAAAAGAGAAGAAAGATGATGCAGAAATTGAAGGAGAGCATGTAGGTGAGTTGTTCTCCAGGAAAATCTGGGGATGCAAGGAAAGAGACTGGTGGGATATTTGGGGAGATAATGGAATGCAGAGGAAGTTTCAATTAGGACCTTGAGAGTATTTGTAAGAAGAGGAACAGATGGTAGCCAGGAAAGGATGTCAGACACAAGAACAATGGTCTAACTAATGATGGTGGGGTGGGGTGGTGGGGGAGGGCGGTAATGATAAAACAGAAGTAGTGATAATAAGAAGTGAGGGAGCATGGTTGTTTACATGCAAAAGGAAAGAATTAGTGAAGACAGAGCTTAATGTGGAGATATTTAAAAAGTAAATATACACATAGAAGGTACTTAGAACATTGCTAGACACATAATTGGGGGCAATAAATTCTAGGTATAAATAGCATTATTACTGATGGATAACTGTTAAATCTTATACAGAGTTCACATAATCAACAAATTCTAACCTAATTTAACAAGATGAGGTTAAGTTACCCTCATTTTCAGTTTAGTATTAGTATTTTTTCTTAACTTGTAATAGAAATAAATGTTTCATTTGAAAAGTCATAAAAATGCAAATTCTATTGGCTCTGAACTATCTCTCCCTGATCTAAGGTGTTCGTCTGTAAGATTTTTTTTTTTTTTAAATACTGGACATGCTTGAATAAGAGTATTTAAAAATGACATTTCTTTTGCTTTAAGAATTAAATTACTCATTTTTCATGGTTTCTATGGAAGCCACAGATAGCCATTGAGATATATTTGAAACTCTGAAACCGATGAAAAGCTCTTCTGTTTAGTCTTAGATTTTTCATTATAATCAATTTATGATGGAAATGTTGACGTAAATTTTTTTAACTAGCAAAAAAAAAATTTAAACACTGGGCACACAGCAGGAAACAAAATGTTGGGGTGCCATTAAGGATACAAGTTTCTAGCTCTTCACCAGTATTTTTTATTAAAGCATAATACTGAGCCATATTAAACTAGCATTACTCATAAATAGTAGACCTCAGTGAACTTCCTCTCTGTTCTGTACATTCAAATGATTTTTACTTCGAAAATAATGGTGGCTGTATCTTAGAAATTGCCTCCAAAAGGTTTACTTCTCTAGAAAATTAGTTTCTCGGGTTTGCTTTTTTTCTTTTTCTTTTCTTTTTTTTTTTTAACACGGATAGGGTGTCAGGGAGGTCTGCAGCAAAATGAAATAAAAGTGCTTTCTTCCCCCAACACAGCTGGCTGCTGGTGTGTGCGGTTTCTCAGCTCGGACAATGACCAGCCTGCATCCGCCAGGCCGCTCTGCCTCTACAACACCACAAAGGCTGCTTATTCTGCCTCTGTGTGAGCCGAGCCTTTGTCACACAGACCTGCTGTCCACCAGGTAGCAAGCCAGGCTGTCAGGGATGCACATGGGGGTCTGCAAATTAAAATTTAATCCGGGTCTGAGACACAGACAGTTATTTTTAAATCCGAGTCACCCATGCGGCACAACAAACACTAGGTCCCACTCTCACTCTGAGGTTTCCAGTTAAATTTATGGGACCAAAGGATAAAGGTGGCGAGGGCGAGAAGATTAAATCCGTGGAATTTTCAATTAGATCAATATGATCACTTGTGATGTTGAATGCAAAAAGGGCACAGATATGCCTGCATTCTTACAGACTGACTTAGGAAAGGCCATAATTGTGAGACGCTGTCGCCACCACCTCCGCCCTGGCTCCCGCGGCGTCCCTGTCATACAGGCATTGCTGAGGCCCCTCCGCCTCCCGACGCAGGGAGCTGTCCCTGCCAGAGCCTGGCCGCCTCTCTCGCCAAAGCCCAGCTCAGATGGAGCCTGCAAGAATGATTTGCCCCAGGGAATATGCCTGGGAGGACTGTCCCCATCTACCCAAAGAGGAAAGGGAGGCATGATCTTTGAGTGATGTATTCTATGAATAATAGGCTTCGCTCATGTGTGGAATATAGGGAAACAAAACAAAGGATAGGATCAAAACCAAACTAATAACCAACTCTAGAAATCTAACTGTAGACTTGGAGGTTCCCAGAGGGGGAGAGGAGAAAAGAGAGGGGGGTGTAGAGAGAGGGGGCTCAACGGTGCGTGGAGGCCATGGGTGCTTGGCGGGGTGGTGCATGTCGTCACATACATCTGCAGAGGTGACTCCTGTGCCTCTGAGTCATGTACAGTGTCATTAACCAAGCTTACCACAATAAAAATAAACAGTTAACCTTCAAAAAAGATAGTGTGTCGTGATTCTAAATTCTACCAGGTAAGACAGCACCACTCACCTTCTTGTCCTGGAGTGTTCTATTAAGAGTCACTGCTCGGCTGGGGAATCAAAGGTCTTTAAACTGGAGGATGCACGCTATAGATGCTGGAAGCCACCAGCACAGTAAGGCTACAGGAGCTGGGGCGAGCGGGTCTGCTCTGTGTGAGCCCTGACTTTTACCATGAGGCGGGAGGAAAGCATCTTGGGGTGCTTTTGCCCACACTACTGGGAAGTTGGGATGGAACATACATGCACAGCCCATTCCCCCCAGGTCATCAGGCATGGGACACATGGTCAGGAGCGGGGAAGACCCATTTTCCCTCAAGCAAGAGTCAGTGTTTTAAGGGAAAATGCAATTGAGGGAGAAAGGTGCTGTCATCATGGCCCAGGAGTGCGTGTGGGAGTGGGGGGGCCTCATCCCTACACTGTGCTCACCTCTTTCTTCCCTCATCTTCCCTGAACTCTTGTCTTCTCCACCCCCCACCGCCAGAAACAACACAGACTAAGCCCATTTAACTTTATATATAAAACTTTTGAAATATTTAAAGACACACTCCCTAACTCTTTGCTGCTTCTGGAAACAGTTCGCTCATGCCTTCTACAGATTATTAAATTGCACACATGCCACAATTGAAAACTCCTGCCACATCCTGAGAACAGTTTAGAGTTTAAAACATTCTTTTTATCTGCATGGTTCCAATTGTTCCTTTGGAAGCAGGGAAAATATTCTCTTTTTCTCTGTCTCTCCTTCCCTTTTTCTCTGGGTAAGTCTTCTGAACCAAATCCAGGAAACTTATATAATGTTTCCAGGACACAGAGTTACAAAGTAGCCAGTCCTGGACCGGAACCAAGCCTCTGGAGATCCAAGCCCTGCGTTTCCAGAGTTAAAGACACTCTTGTTACCAGGGTCTCAGCATCCAAAGTGATGAGGTCTTTGAAGGCACGTGCCACAGGGCCGAACTGACTAACTTCTCACCAACACAGACAAACACAAAGGACAGGGTGGGGATACAAAGTGACAGCTATGGGACCCTTGCTGTGATTTCAGACTTTTGGGTTCCTTTACCCTCCATTTACCTATTTTAGAATTCCCAGAGAAACTCTAATATTAACCAAATAAACATCACTTCAGAAGTTATCAGGTCCACGTAGTCTGGGGGGGGCTACACACCTGAGTCTGGAGCAGGGATGGTGGGCGAGCAGTTCTCCTTCATACACGTGTCCATCACTGAAGTCAGCATCGTGGTAGGGACGCCGGGACTGCCTGAGAAGACAAAACCAGCACATGGCAGGAAGGCAGTGGGCCAAGGCAGGACGTGACAGAAGTTACGAAGGCGCTTGAATAACACTCACTGCTTCTGCCACTTTGCTGTGCCCAGAGTCTCCTGCTCACTTAGTACGGAACCCGAACACAGCTTTGCCTACTGAAGCAATTTTATAAATAGAGAAGAGGTTCCCAGGCCAACCCACTAAAAGCCTCATATACCTTCTTTAAGTGGTGGAGATAAAGTATTAATAACTCTGTAGGCCTCACCACCGTGTATCATGCAGCTACCAGGGCCAAATGCATTCCGGGTTCTGACTGGGACGCCAACACAGTTCACCCAGTGCAGGGGGCATCCCAGGCTCCAAGCCACAGGCCCTGTGGCTGAGGGAGATGCTGCAGGCGGTGTCAGTTCTGACTGTCAAGGATGGGGCCCCAGGAACAAGGCGTAAAAAACGCCTCCGGGAAACAAGTCTTCAGGCAAATCCCTCGTGGGAATCTTTCTTTTCTTCCCTGGTCCCTAAGGGTCCGCACACTTGGCAGTTCACCACCCAGTTCCCTGACCCAGTGTGAGACAGAATGTTAACCTTCCAATGTCACCATAAAAATGTTATAAAAATGTTGTTAGACCCTAATGCCCCAAAACAGATGAATGGATCATAAAGTTGTGGTACATGTACACAATGGAATACTACTCAGTGATTAAAAAGGACAAACTCATGCCATTAACAGCAACATGGATGGAGCTGGAAGGAGTTATGCTATTCCTTTTCATAAGGAAAAAGAGAAATACTGGAGGTTTCACTTACATGCAGAATATAGAGAAAGCACACAAAATTTCAAGAAAAAGACAAAACAAGCAACCTGACCATGGATCAGAGGCATACATCAGGGGAAGTGGGTGGGGGCAAAATCAGGGAGGGAAAAGCATAAGGGACTATGGTGATGGTTCATGGGTGAAAGGCTGGCGGGAGATCTATGGGGACTACCTGAGGGGAGAAGTCAATTACTGTACAAAAATGAACAATGATGTTAGAAAATAATAAAGATATAAAGTATAAGTTTATCTGGAGAAAAATGTTGTTAGAAACAAATATAAAGCAAAAGGGCTTATTCCTCTCACATCTGTTTTCTGCAAAGCACCATCACACACAGTCTTTAAGAAAGGACAGAGTCCTTCATCCTTACATGCAAGGGCCAGGGAACATGCTCAGTGCATTTCAAAGCATCCCCACATCATGTTCATCCCAGATTTTGGAGGAGCTAGGGTGGAAGTGGCAAATGAAGCCAGAGCTAGGACATGCGATGAGAGGCACCAGCCCTGGGAGTTCAAGGGCTGCCAACACAGGCTTCAGCTACACCCAGAGCCCTCCCCTCCAGCCCTCTAATGGGAATAAGCACAGGGCACCGGCAGGTCGTTGGTGAAGGAGAAGGGGGCTCTGAGTACCCCCGTTGGGCAGTGCACACATAGAAAAGTTATTGACTCTGTGCTGGACTCTGAGGGCCTAGATGTGAGGCTAGAAAACCCATGTCTGCTGGGAACACAGAGCGGGCACAGACATAACTGAACGGGCACATGGAGGAACAGATGACATGATGAGTGCATTAAAAGCATTAAAAGAGGAGAATTCTGAGAGAGAAATAAACAGAAAGCTTTTTGGAGAAGGATTCATATGGGAGAGATGTAGGATTTACACATAGGAAGATGAGCTAGCGAGGAGGAGGCCACTCCAGGAGCATCTGAGGACAAAGGCACAGACAAGGTAGATGAGGCCTGGGGGAGGACCCCAGCTTATAGGCCAAGGACCTTGAACCTAGTAACCCATACCCAGTGCAGATCTCAGGGAAGTTATTAAACCAGCCAGAGACACAATCAGAGCAGTTTTGGGATGAGTGACCTGGTCAGGGGCGAAGAAGCCACAGAAGGGAGTGAATGGAATGAGGGCTTGGAGGGCAGCACTGAGTGGGGAGCAGTCAGGGTGAGTGATGCTGTCACCTCCACTGGTCAGCACCAGCTGCCTCCACCTCCCTGGGCTTTTCCAAGGCAGAAGCCCCTGACACTGCCCCTGGAGGCACCTTCACCTATGGAGCTGCAGAGGCCTGGGTGCCACCTGCAGAGGGCCCTCCTTCCACTTGCATCCGTGCCTGTGATGCTCTGTGGAACTCCCGGCCTCCTCTGGGCATCTGTGTGCGAGTGTCCTGTACCTAAAGCCACGCTCACAGAAGAACTGCACGTTTCTGGGGCCTAGATCTCATCTACCACATCGAGGCATTATCCTGAGAATGTCACTCATCTCTGGGAGTGAAAAGTTTTTAATATTTGAAAACAGAAACTATCTGTACAAATAATATATGGCCTTAGAAATCATGACTGTCAGGAGCACATGGGTGCTTTCCTAGGGCATGGCACCACAGAGACCCTGTCCATGAAGCAAAATCTCTCAGTCCAGGAAGGAATCAAGAGTTTCACTTTGTTATATACCAGGATTTCCACATGCTTTCTCTTTTTTAAAACCACACACATACATATGTATACACACACACACGTGTAGTTAGTGAAGTGCTTGGCCCCTTAGGTCCAGTATTGCCTATTGTATATAAAAAAAAGTATTAATATTTCTGAGGAAAATATGTTCACCATATAATGGCACTAACTTCCTTTTTAAATAACACAATTACAAATATTTCCTACATTTCATAAAGCAGCAACTGTGGCACATATTAGAATTAGAAATTATGATGCTTTAGTGTTAGACACGCTGTGTTCTGAATAAATCAATGTGATCCTATCTGCTAAATAATTGAAACTCAAAGATTTTTGAGAGCTGACCATTTATGATTCACTGAGAGTGTAGTGAAAGTGGAATTTTGGAGGCATGAATATGTGAACTTTTCCTCCAAATACTTAGGTTTGTGAAACTCTGGGAAAAGTGACATTTAAGGGAGAACAAGAAAGGCAGTGCCAGAAAATATTTCATGTTCGAGTGGACAAGCTTGAGAACTTCCAATCTATGTGTATGTTTCTATTCTGTGCTTTGATCACCTCCTAATAGGTCTACCAGCTCCTTAATTAATCCAGAGCCTAAGGAAGATACTATTCTGCATCACTAATTTAAAAAATGATGTCAATTAAAGGCTAGGAAGAACGTCACTGATAACGTATTATGATAAAATCCTACGTGAAATGGCTTGAGGAGAGGGTCACCGCGTGGTTCCATCCTCTCCCACCCTGAAGAGGTGGAATCACTGCAGTGAAACTAACAGCCAAGCACGAGGCTAGGATTTCTGTCTGATGAAGCAGGAGGAGAGGAAAAAGAGCAACAGAGAAATTGAACCAAAACATGAAAAGCCAGGAACGAGGAAAAGAGAAACCACTAGAGCAAATATTAAGTAAAAAACTCAAAGTAGGATGGATGGAAAGAATCAGCCTCACCCCCACAAATCACAGTGCCAGTACATGGATGACGTCTAACCTGCCTTGCCACAAAAATAAAAATCAGACAGAAATTCTGACAGCCTTCCTAATGACAATATTTTGAGCATTTTTGCTTTAAATTTTTACTCTCTGATCATTTCCAAATCGAAGTATTTATCACTTTTAATTATAATTAAAATATAGGCATCAGATAGCAAATGCATGAGGTGCTGTGATAACATACTGGGTAACCCGAACATGTGGGATAATGGTTGCTAATGATGCTATTTGGCATTTAGGGGAAGACCAGGAAAGAGGAAAGCAGTCCCAAAGCTGATCTCCTGAAGCGCAGGTGCTGTCTGTCTCCCGAAGCAAGTCAGCAGTGATGACACTTTCTTACCAAGACTGAGCTTTGATAATAACTCTTGTAGCAGAATTTTTTCCCACTCACGGTGACATGACCCTGCAGCCTGAGAATATTGCCCACTCGTGAGCTCAAAGAAAAGGAAGCGAACCCCTGGGCCACCGGCCTTCCTCTGTGATGGTGCTAACAAGCACCCTCAAGTCCTGCCTGCCACCGAGAGTTCAAATCGAGGGAATGGCAGTACCTGCTGCAGGGGTTCTGTTTTTCAGCCGATCCACTTCCATCGTGAAGTCATCCTTCAGGAAAAGGAACCCAATGATGGAAAACAGGTAGACCAGGATGAGCGCGAGCACCGCGGTGAGGATGATGGAGCGGCCATTGCGGGTGACGCTTTTGATGACATTGAGTAAAGTCTCTTCTCTGTACACCAAGTCAAAAAGCTACACAAGTAAAGAGAAAAGAAACAAGAATAGATACCCATGGAGCAGAAAGTGAGTAGACACAGAGGTAATTACAAAAATAAAGTAACCTAAATTTTACCTTAAAAAGGAATGAAAATGTGTATTTCTTCTCTAATTGAAATGGATTACTGAACAGCTTCTCCAAAATGATGACACAACAAATAATGTGCATTTGTTAGTCTTGTAATCAACACACTCAATTTTGTACGACATGGAATTAGCTTCAAATTTGAATTCGGAAAAATTATATCATACTTAACCATAAGCACAATATTTGCACTTACACGGAATTTAGAAAAATTATAATAGCGCACCTAACTTGTCAGCTTATTTCTTATTTTCAGTCTGACTGATACTCTGCTCTAGAATGTGGAAGGTAGGGAACATGACAGTGCTGAACTAGGGTCCACCAAAGTGGAGGACCGTCAACAGATTCATTAAACGTATTGTTTGATAAAGGATGCGAGGTGGAATTATGAGAACAATTTTATGAACCTACTGCAATAAACATGAAATTTTAAAATATTTGAGAATGCAAACATCTCCCATACTTTTAAAGGGGTACAATGAGGCCAAAACCTATAAAATTGGAACTATAAATAAAGATCCAGCATATAATTTTGCTAATTTTAGTCCTCTAATGGGTTAGTATTCATTCTGTGTTTGGTGGTAGAAAACCTATGCACTTAGTTAAGGCCCCAGCTGTATAGCACTATATGTAGTCAAAGCCAGGAACAGCTGGACTTTTTGTTCCATTATCAACTGGAAAGGAACATTATTATACAAAGCCGATTAAAAGAAAGAAATTAACATTAGCCTTAAAGAAGCCATAAAACGTATGTCTGGAAATAGTATTTTTAAAATTGGAATCGTTGGGGTTTGGTCTACTGCTGTCTCTGAGCAGTGAGACTTAGTGAATTGGTCAAAGTTACCAGTCACCAGTGTCTGGCATTCTTTTAGAAAGAGAGAAGCCTCGTGTTCTGCTTTTCTGAGTACTAAGGCTCATACCCAGTTATTTTCCAACTGAATCGCTAGTGGTCTTTCAATGAGAGGTTGTAAAGATATTAACTTGTCTGTTCACTTTAGGAAGCTGAAGTTTTATGATCAAATAAAAAAAAAATGTTGAACTCTTCTGATACATTTCTCTCCTGGTGGAAGCAGCAGTCTTGGGAACTAAGGCAGTGCTCCTATATACAAGGGAACTAGCGCAAATGCAACTTCTGTATGAGCCACATGTGGGCTAATTTCACTTAAACATTTAGTTGACACAAAGATTTTGCTTTGCTTTGACTGAAGAGTAGCTTAAAAAATAAAAAAAAAGGCCTGCCAATGGTCTCTAGATCATTTCAGGATAGTTTATGAAAGCCCCCAGCTTTCAGAGGCCCATGGATGCTTGCTATAAATGCATAATATTGGACCCCATTCTGGGGAATTCAAGACCCACCAGACAGATTAGCAGCTTTTTGTCTTAATTTCTGAAAGGAACATCCAGAGTATGGTTTTTATTATTTTGGATAAAGGATGGACATTTGTGGATACAACTGGGAATGCATATTCACATATCTTTTAAATATAAAAAATATGTTAAAATATATTTAAATGCCATTTTGATATTATGTCCATTCTGACTTCCTTTTAGTACTCTAAGTATCAAAATGACAATATCCTTTTCATCACCAACCTGATGAAGACAATCAGCATCAGAATTATAAAATGTTAAAGATAAAAGAGGAAAATAAAACTAGAAAATAAGGTTAGGTAACAAATTTGAAGGTAACATTACTATTAATAATGCATAGAGTAACTCACACATCTTTATTTTGTCAAAAGCTTTCCTTGGTTTATAATAATTATCTCCCATACAGTATCCATTTTAGAGACCAGAAAGTTGAAACACAAAGGCATTATAGAATATTATGTATCACAATTAAGTAAAAGTGTATATATTATACTCTATATATCAGAAGCAGATTTTTTAAGGGTTTTCTTTTTCTGTCAAATCACATCGGGGGGAATTCATTCAGAATTCTAAAAAAACAGTGTCTACATTTACCTACTGAATAATAGAACTTAATTTTGCTTCAAAACATAGGCGGCAAGTCCATGCTTCACTATGGCTCTTTCAGGTCTTTGAGAATCAGTGGAAAATTATCCCTTTTCAATCCTCCTACATTGGCAGGTTCTAGGAAAAGGAGCCGGAGGCGATGGATTTGTCCCTCAGGACCCAAGCAAAAAGGGTCAACACAATGCTTTCAGCTCTTCAACTTGTTTTCAGGAATTATTTTACTAAGTCGTTCTCTCTACCGCATGTCAGCTTGGCGCTGGAGACAAAAAATTGCTTGATGGCATCACAATGCCAATCTGGAGGTGCTTTAATCCCAAATCTTATCATCTTTCTCTAGTAACCCTTTCCTGGAATAGGGGTATAAAACAATAGATATGCATGAAGGAAAACCAATGGCCAGCAAAACAAAAAACAAAAAAAAGCTAGGCAAAATCTGAAAATTCATTTAATGAATTAGAGATAAATAGATAAGCTTAATTGCAATGAGATGTTCAATCTGAAACTCTGAGACTGTGAAACTATTCATTGTATTTTTGCGAGGTTGACAGTTTTCTCTTACTTTACTGCTGTGCCAATCTAAAGATAAACATAATGTTTGGCACTATAAATAAAATAAAATGATACCAGTACCAAGAAAATATACCCCTATTTCCACCCCGATATGCGGTTGGTGAATGTCTAAAGGTAAAAAGAAGTATGATGTGTCAGGAGGTGAGGTCATTGGCTCCTTCTGATAAAGAAAATAAAGAATTCCACTATGTGATTTCTCAGGAAAAAAAGACTAAAAATAATAATAATTCATGCTTTTCTAAGGAAATTCTAAAAATAACAATTTGTCCTAAATGTCAGACCCTGCTTAAAAAAAATCAAAGGAAGAGGCATGAGAAGAGGAAGCATTGTATATTTTTTGTCAGCAGTGCTGGTCCACATAGAGATGTACTCACCAGGAAGCTATAGAAGAATTCATGGACAAAGAGACCCAGCATGCAAACCAGGACATAGGCCACGTGGTAGAGAAAGGCCACGTCCAGGATGACCGCTCGGTACCCTCGGGTGAACGTGCCACGGTTCCCAACAAAACTCACCAGGAATACTATTTTATTACAAAACTGAAAGGAAGAAAAGATTGGATTTTACTGTCTTATTTATACTGAAACTCACATGAACAGCAGGGCACTGGCAAAATACCTCTTAGGCACAATGTCTGAGATTTTCTTTCATGATTTCTCTTTTTGTAATTTTTTAGCTTACAAATCTGCATGTAATCATAATGTGTGCAAATTCTGTATGCTTTGTAATTGCAGGAAAAGTGAGGAGAATGATTTAGAGCCCCAGCTATGCAGACACATCAGAGTTGAGTTTAAATCTTCTATCTGCCACCCCTGTTGCATAACCTGAGTCCTCAACTCTAGACCTTGACTGTTTCTTCCGAAAAACTGGAATAAAGAAATTCCCATCTCTTTAGAGGATTAAATAAATAATTCATAATGCATAAGGAGTATATAGTATAATGACCCCTTAAATATGACTTTTATTATATTTTCATATTAAAACACATGAAATTTTTTTATTACACTGGCTATGCAACAGAAATTTTTTTCAGAAAACACCAGGTCTCTCCTTGATTTTTTCTTATCCAGAACTTTATTATTATTTTAAACAAGTAAAACCATTAAAAATATACTTCTGCATTTAATTCATTTGAAAACATAATATATATGTATATTTACATACTTAGATTAAAATAAATGTAAGGCATACAAAAATTTTCTAAGCTCTATGTGTGGTAACTATTCAATAAACATTTTGGAGTGTTTATTATGTTTAGTACCATGTAAAGTATTTATATTAAAACTATATTTAAAATTGCCCTTACAGCATAATTTTAGAATACAGAAGTTTATAACAAGAGCCTCTGGTGGTAACAACAGAGATCTGTGCAGTTATCATAAATTTGTGCCATCTATTGGTTCTAGAATCACTGCATTATTTATAAACTGAAAAGCCAATTTTGTCTCTTAGTCATCAAGAATTACAATATTTCAAAGTTTTTTTAGCTTGTTTTTCCAAATTGTTGCCTGAGTTCTCACAGACAAGTAATACCATCATTGTCTTTAGGTATCCAAATCTAATTTAGGGAAAACAAGTGGTTTCTTGCAACATTGTTAATTTTTTTCTATATATATGAAAGGAATTGCCATACAGAATGATTTAAAATAACATAGGAAGAAACCTAACACTGAAACAGAGGGAAATTTGAGAGGTTGGAAAAATTTTTTCCCTTCCACTTTCTTAAGATCAAATCAATACAGATAAAATGAGAAATGGGTTGTCATTGTACACTGAGAAGACAATCAAACCAATGCAGCAAAATAGCAATGAAAAAGTTCAAATCTTTTCTAAATTTCTCTGTACTAATCATCTCACTTAATGATCATCTCAATAATCAGTTATCAATTCTCTCATCCTCTTAGTAATAACTTGAATGGCAAGCTTAGTGTTAATTTCATTAGTGTTGCATAATCACATCTTCATATTATTACTAAATATAGCTACAGTCTTTATATTTACTATATTACTATACAAGAACAATTTCATATGATAAGAAGTCATTATTTTAAAAACTTGGGAAATACATACAAGGTGCTGACAATAGTATAGTATTTGATAATAAACATTCATGAAAATGGTAACACGTGGAATATGTAAGGTTACAGTCAGTGTGTTATTCTTCAAATTGTTTCAAGTGGCTACTGTTCAAATTTGAGCTATTGACCTTGATTCGTCATTACAAAATACTAATTTCTCTTAAAAAAAAGTTATCCTCTCTAAAAAATAAAGTTAAAAATTAGAACTATGACTTTTCAGAAGAATGAATGACATGTTTAAAATAGTTTACATTGTTTTCTTATCTCATCTTCCCTAAACTGAATCATAGAAAATTATTTATAAGCCCTACATACTGAGGAAAAGCAATACACTGAATGAAAATTTGCAAATGGATCATGTATTTTAGTTTTCAAATAATGCATAAACGAGGACACATTTCTGCCTAAAAGGGCTTCTGCCATTTTTGCATGAAAAGTAAAGATGTGCCTTATTTTCAGGTTGACTTTTTCATTGGAAATTTGACCTAGTGGTGGGTATACTCCTACTCTCTTGACTATCTCAAAGTAGAGTGCAGTTGATAGTAGTGGTAATTACATTTATTTCTGTTGAGATCAGAAAGAAGAAAATTGTCCTTTTGTCTTGAAGTGTTCATACCAAGAAGAAATAGTGCAAAAGTAAATATGTGTAGGAAAGAAGTTGAACTATGGCTTCCCTACACTGTGACCTTGAAATGTACACATTGTGTTTATAGAGCATTTCCATGACAGCGGAGAATATTTTTAGGAACACGGTTGCAAAAACATTTTCCCTCTTCATGTCAAGATTTCCTTGATATGTCTAACTAATCCTTTATTTGCCAGTACCATTACGTAGGTAACCACTGTTCCTATGGCAAGGATCCATGAAGGCAAAAATAGACAGTGGTGAGAGAACAGCGCAAAGTAGTTAAAAGACCATGATCCTCTGAACAGATATTGAAAGGACAAACACCAATATAAGTGATCAAATATGTCCTATATATTTTTCTCCATCTATTCTTCAAAGTTGTCCTTGACAAATTTTTTATTGAAGATGGCGTGAACTGTTTGATGGAGGTGGATGTTCATTGGTTTGTCTTTTTAGGACTTTTAAGTGCAGTATAGTGGAAAGATGATGGACTGGGCCATTGGGATTCCAGTCCTGCATCTTTCAGGAATTATTCTGGTAAATCCTCCTGTCTCTACATGATGCTCTATACTTACTTCTAAAAAGAATGCCTGGAAGTGAATAATCCTTAACGTCCCTCACAGCTCTAGAACTCCATGATGTCCTTCCCATCTTATTATGTTATGTGATCACAGAAATTCATGACTTCCTTTAAATGTACTTTTGACTTATTTCATTCGATGTCTCTGACAGAAATTCTATGCCCATCTTCCATTGTTCCCATGGGAAAACATGACCTATGTCCTAGGAATAAACTGTTCCCCAAAAAATTTTCTATGATTTATTGAAAAGTAAAATTGAATTTATTATCTTGAATTACTTATTAGCTACATGACCATATTTAAATCAACTGTCTTTCTAAAAATGAGATGATTTGATTGAAAAAATCTCCATTCAGTGGAATCAGACCTCAGGCAGGGTAAGGATCTATGACCAAAGTATAAGGCAAAATTTTCACATAGGTCAAAATCACCTTGGAAATCTGTTAAATTGCTGATGTAAACAGTCACCACTAGTGGTGTCAACTGGAGTATCTCTTATTGAATTTGTCACATGCTAGTTTTGCCCCAATACTGGAGCAGTTCTGTTTCTGCAGCTGAAAATGAGAAGCAATTATAGCACTCAGTGACCATATTATGTGTAAAAATAGGATGTGTGTGTGTGTGCCTGTGCCTGTGTGTGTGCTGCATATGTTTAATGAATGTCTGCTATGATTCAGCCTTACAAATCAGCAGTGACATGAGCGCTCCACAGGTAAGGAGCTAAGGGCATGACACTATTAAATGTGAGCGTGCTGGTATGATGGTATTTGCTTCTCCTCTGTAAAATGGTGAGACCAAGTTCCAGCATAAGGAAACACCTCCATGTGACAAATAACTATGAAAAAGGCAAATGACACATTTAAAAGATATACTATAAAAGAAAAAAAATGTTATAGACAAAAATGTTTCAAAGTTATTGAAAAATCTTTCACAGGTATTTACTGGATTATTGTTATAAAATATCTGCAAATCTAGATGGTAAAAGTGAATGAAATGGTTAAAAGGATTATATGACAACTAACACATATCTGGAAGTATTCTTGTTACTAAAATGAAATTTACAAATAATTTTAATGACACGGGGGGGTGAGCGATCCCAAGCTTATAGAATGTGTTTATATATGCCAAAAGCAAATGTTAATTTCCAACCCCAGTGTAGGGGGTGGGAAGAATTGTGCTAGGTTATAAGCAATGCTTTACAACAGAGAAAAACATTTGCACTTTTGGAAATATCTCAGACATTGAGGCAACTTCTGGAACAGGACAGAGAAGTGCATTGTAATCTAAACAACAGATTTTTACAAATGAGTAAAGATGATAAAAATGAAGCATCATAATGAGTAAATAAGCAGAAATTGATGATACTCAGTGCTCCAAACACAAATGGAAGTTTTTTCTCCCCTCCCATTTGATTCCTTTTCCAAAAACAGGGACTTTCTGCATATGCTTAACACTGTGAAAGATGCTAAGTGTCCTTGAATCCTTTCCCTATAGTGATAGTTTTACATAAATAGTGTTTCACATGCTGGATAGTAAGTGGTAGCTGTTTCTGCCAATATAGAGAGTGATACGTAATTACACTGTGTTAGCTTTCTTGCTCATATACACTGCCACATCTGATCACTGCTACTGTTCTTTTCTGAACCTCCCACGCTAATCCTCTCAAACAACCTGATGAAGCTAGAGCTACTAACTGCAGTTTACTGATGAGAAGAATGAAATTCAAATGCCTGGGGGATTTTTGTAGTGGGTAATATTGTAGGTTTTAGGTAGTTACCTTTATCAGATTAATAAAATTTTCTTCTGTCCCATTAAAAAAAAAGCTGCTGATCTGCCTACAGTCTAGAACTCTAATTTTCATCCTGCTGCACCTGTCAGGTGGATATTTTCTTTTGTTTCTCCTTTTTGTTATGCTTATACTTTTAACACTTACAGTTTCACCTGTTACACAATATATTAAGACCTAAGGTATTAAACAATATTGAGTTATGGGTTTTTGGCCTCTTAGAAGATAGCTATGTTAAAAGTTTGGGTAAATGGTCATTCACTAAAATATTTCGCTAATTGGCACATTAGATATAAAACACTTCTATCCATATTGATGACATCAAAATTACAAATACTCCATCAGCCTGTCCCAAATTGAAGTTGTTTATTTTCTTTGATCAAAATCCCCTGGACTGGCAGATCATAATTACCATTTGGGAACTGTACAAAATGGTTTATACCGGGAAGGCTTTTAGAAGTCCCAGAGATTCATATAGCGAAGAGTGACATATCTCCGTGTTATTTCTTGTCATGAAGAAGGTAAACTATAAAACTTGCTTCTCACATGAACAGTCATTTCTTATGGTGGAACTATTCTCAAGAAAAACACCCCAAGTGCTTTTGGTTTCCCCAACAGACACTAGAATATAATACTTTACATTTTAATCTACTTTGAAGTGTCTGGGTAGTAGGAACTACATGCTCTACCTCTTGGTAGCCTCAGAGACTATTAGGTAAAAGAAGTCTGATGAATGATTGTTATTTTTGGTCTGAATCTATCTGGCTATTATTTCATTAACCAAACTTGAATTTTCTCACTTGGATTAAGGGCCATTTACTAACTCATGAATATTATGTGCATCTTTAAATAATTAGGTTCAATACTTAATGTACTTGTTAACAGAAAAAAAAATAATAAACTGGAAACACCAATAGGTTTAGAAAAATTTAGATGAATCCATGACAGGTCCTGGTAATATTGCAAAATTAGCTTATTTTCAAAGCATGGAAGGTTCAAGTTTAGCCCACGTGAATGATTTTTGAATATTTAAGTGCTAGGTATGAAGGCTGAGTTAGGTATCTGTATGCAGAGTTCGGAGGGGCGAGGAGAAGGACTGTGTCTATGAATGTCACAAGCCCTGCCTTCAATATACAATACCATGTTTGGTACATCATAGAATTCTGTACTGATAGGCCTCTCTGTCTATGGAGTACACACTCCTTTACTGGCAATGACCGAGGCGTAATTGATAATTTGGTTGCCTGAATGTTCCCGGTAACTGGAAGTAAGCATACATAATATATCCATTTTTTGAAGAACTATAACACAATACAGATTAGAAATACTGAATCAGTTTTGTAATTCTCAAAACTTTGGTTGGCAATTTCATTTATTCATCTTCAATCCTACCTGCCACATACATAGGTTAAGTGCAAGCACTGCAGTGTGTAAGAATACAGAGATAACCTTTCACTCATTCACTCTCACTAGTTAATCCACTTAGGAAATATTTCCTGATAATGAAATATTTCCTACTGATGAATTTGGAGGATGAATCATTATCCTTTAAAACTATGTTAGAAAGCAGCAGAGATAGCCTGCATACAGATGCCCGGACATAGGGTACTATGTTAGTGACACTGTAAAAAACAGAGACATGCTGTAGGCATTCAGCAAACCTACCAGGAGCACTTACTTGTTTACCTGGCCACTTGTTTCATCAATCTGATGTTTATCTTTTCTTACCCTGTTATAGCTCTGCCATGCAGAAAGGAATCTAATTCTGTTAAAATTTTATCTTCTGGATACAATTACAACTACTTGTAAAAGTACTCTGTCTTGCTTACCCAAAACTTAGCTAGCTCAAATTTTGTGTAGCCCTATTCTAACATTTTAAAATTTCATGAAAAAAAAAAAAACTCATCTAGACTTTTCTCAAGCTTATAGATTTTACTCATAGAAAGAGCTCAGTTTCATATTTTCTCAGTTAGCAACCTCTTTTCTTTGGTCATTTTATAAAAGGCACTGACTTCTAAAAATCTACTGAACATAATGTAACCTTTCTTGGATAGTTTAGGAGTCACTTTAGGCTGTTAACAGGGGTTCACATTCATTTTTTGTCAAAAGCTGCATTGAAGTGGATTGGATTAAGTGGATTGCAGAAATGGGTCATGCCCCGATGCTAAATTCCCACATATGTCAAATTTTTATTTGTCACTTTTTCTTTCTCTCAAAATTAAGTAAAGCATGTAAAAATCAAGCTCTGATTAACTTGGATTCATGATACATTAGGATTTACCATACACAGAGAATTAAAGCATATACTTTTAAAATTATGCATTTATAACTGATCTGTAAGGGAACAAAGCCAATGAAAGTACTCACATTAGCTGCACCCAGGAGGATTAACGTTGGTCCGAGGCCTATGGTGTATATGGACCTGAGCATCACAGACAGAAGGAATGGCTGAATACCCACAGGCTTGGAGAAGAAAAACAGCATAGATGTGCAGATTGCAACTGCTATCCAAAGAAGAACTGAGAACAACGGAGAAAGTGTACCTGAAAAAGGTGGAAGGAGTTTGTTTTTACTAAGAGTAAGACTTAAATATGTTAAACTAATTGCCACTTCATATAATGAGTCAAACTATAAGACACTGAATTTCAAAACGAGCCACTCCACACACTATATAGTGAGAGGAAGTGTCTACGAACACTTTACCCATTATTACATTTCCAGAACGTTTGTGATTAATCTCAGGCTGATTAGATACTCATCAGTTAATGCTCCTTCCATTAAATCTGAGAGAATTGTTCATCTTTCTCTCCTATGGGGAGTTATATGCTAAATACTTTTGATAGACGGATCTCACTTGGGAATCTCAATTCAAAATTTATGATTAATGACCATTAAATGCACAGTGAAGTCATGTACTTTTTTTTTTATCAAACTCGTAACTTGCCTTATTCTATTATCATCAACTTTCTCTATTACAGAGTCCTCTAAAGAATTCAGAATATAGATAGTCCCATCTACATTTTACTGGATGAAAGTCACAAGTTTTGACTGTTAAAAAACATGGTGTACACATAGGTATATGTATGAGGGCATGTGTTTGAAGACCAATACAAATTCCTAAATAAATGTTAAGCTATTTAGTCATCAGAGAATGAAAATTCCAAATGTTTTTATTTTATTTTTTAAAAGATTTATTTATTTATTTATATAAGCACTGGGTACAGTCAGAAGTGCAGGAGGGTGAGAAAATTCACCAGAGCCAGAGTGGGGAGCAGAACAGGCAGAAGGACCGAAGTACACTGCCAGTGGGTGCGGCAGCTGGCGGCCAGGGATCGAACTGGCGCTGCAGAGGCTGCGGGCAGCTTTGCAGCCCAGTGCTCAACTGCTGCGCCACCGGGGAGGCCCTCCAAATATTTTTAAAAAACTCCATTACAGATAGAATCTTTTGAAGTTGTCCCAAAGAGGGAATAAGCATATATTTCCTTTAAGAAATATATGCTACATCCCTGACACACTGACATATGGATTCGGGACTCCTCTCTGAATGTCCCGTGGGGCTGCAGTTGCAGAAATTAATTAAGGGGCAACACTTTGGGGCTGATTAGAGTAGCCCTGGGGTCTCACACTGACTTTAGGCTGAAAAAATCAGAGAAGCAGCCACAAAAATGGAGATTTTCTACTAGTTATTCTCTTTCAGTTACACTGTTCTTATTTATAAAATTCACTTTTGCACATCAAAGATCACAAAGTTTAGGTATGGGAGCTTCAGCAACATCAGGGAGACCCTGGGCTTATCTGGCCTCCTTCAGAGACTCCTGTGTAAGCCTCTAGTTCATCGAGAGTGATAGCTGGCAAAAGTAGGTAGGTAGATCCCAGCAGACATTAAAAAACAAAACACCAAAAAAGGTGAGATATGGAAAAGCATTATTTCAGACATGCCCATTTTGCAACATTTGTCATCATAGCATCTCTAAAAACAAGCAGTGATGAGACATGGTTGGGAAGAGGGATTCCATCCACTACCCCCCCTCCATGGCCTGGTAAAATGAATTTGGGGATAAGCAAAGAAAAGGTAAATTGCTCAGGAAATGACCTTCACTCCTGTCTGCTGACAACACGAGCAAAATGGGCACCCAGCTCATGTTCAGGAGTTGGCTTATGAGCATTCAGCATTTACAAACACAGCCCAACCACCAAACACCCCAACTTGACAGATCTCGAGGGCGCATGGAGAGAATGCTGCCTGCAACTTCCCTCCTGCGCACTGGGCTCCACCTCGATGGAAGTTCTCAAAGGGCGAGCACTGTCTCTGGCCCCATGTCTGGTCCTATCATAGCGCCGGGAATGCAAGAAAGAACACGGGCTTGTTAATTAACTGAATAAACAAACACATGCTCTGAGCTCATGCAGAGTAACTAAGTCTCCAGTTATAAATTCCCCAACTTGCCGGCATCCCTGCTCATTTCACAACTCTTAGCCAGTCACTGGATTCTTCAGAGCAGTTGATAAGCAATGTGATGTTCTCATTTTAACAGCCCTGTCACAGCGTGCCCTGTCATCAGTGCCTGACAGGCTGACCACAACTTGACTCCGCTGTCCCAGACGGTGTCTGGCTTGCTGGGATTTTCCCTCAATTAAACAAGAAATTATAAACGTGGACTTCACCCCAGGCATGTGATTCCTTTGTAGACAGAAGTCAAGAGTGTGTAGCAACAGTACCTTGTACACAGTTTCATGCTCAACATGTATTTGTGGAATACATACACTTAAGAGCTACTCCAAATGGCTATTCATTGACAATTTTATCAACTGACCATAACTTATGATCATATTCTGTAAGGATGATTATACTGGTTTCCAGCTAAAGATTTAATGCTAAAAAAGTAAACTGAAGTCCTCTTTTACCCATTAGGAGTAAGAAACAGGGACAGACTTCCTTTACTTGTATTAATTTTCAATAATGAATGGATAACTTCTACAATGGGAACATTTTTTAAGAATTCATGCTAAACATTTAAAAATCTTAGGTGCTATACAGTGTGTCCTTTGTAGAGGAAAATTCAAGCACCAAAATCAGAGACCTCAATTCAGTTCAGATAATGGACTTTGCAGTCTCCCTGCCACTGTCCTGCTTATACCCTGCTCTGTAAAATATGCCTTACTTCCCAGCCTCCCCTATTCCTCGGCCTCCCTCCGCAGTTCAGCTGAGGCAGGCAGCCGTCCTACAGCATGGGTCATCTTCACCGCCATGCCTCGCTCTCTCCTTCCTCCCTGAACTTGTCCATGAGCGCCAGAGTCCTGAATGGTTTTACCAACTTGTATGCTCTAGGACACAGTTCCTGGCACAGAGCCACGCGCCAGCCTCACCTATTACTAAGTGGGAGAACTTGTTTGTTTCTTTTAACACAAAGCATTTCAGGAAAAAGAGCATTGCACCCAGAATTTGAACATGATTTTTCAAGATGATCGCATGCTCTCTGGATATGAGGCCGTCCCACGACAGCCGTTCCCTCCACTCACTAGTCTGCCTTGGCCAGCATGGCAATCCTCAGCTTCTGAGGGGGACACAGGGGGGTGGGTCCCTTATCTGACAGCTTTGCTCAGCCATACTCAGCAGAGCGGTGCTCTTCGACTTCAGCATAAGTTCTAAGATTTATTTATTTATGCATACAAGAACTGGGGCACAGGCTAAAGATGTGGGGGGGGGGGTGAGAGCATTAACCAGAGACAGAGTGGGGAACAGACCAGGCAGATCGACTGAAATACACTGCTGAGGGGAGCAGCGGTTGAGCCAGGAGAGGTCTGCTGCGCAATGTGGGTCACTCCCCTTGCTGACCAAAGATTGAATTTGTGCTGCAGTGGCTGCAGATAGCTTCATAGGTTATGTCTTAACCCCTCACACCACCAGGGAGGCCCCAGCATAAGTTCTTTTTTAAGAGAAGCCCATTCAAAGAAATGCACACATCAATCAAAGAAACTGAAACCTGAGCTTCAAATAAAGGTCTTCAGAGCCTGGTCATGAAAGGTTATCTGCAGGAGGTTGGGGGGTTATGGTGTGAAGGGGGTGCCCCATAAACTCATCTTCTCAGAATTCCCTTCCTCTTAAGTGTCTCTTTCAATCACTGCAACCAGAACCCTAGCTGAAGGGAAACTGTACTCCTGGCAAATATCATAATCCAAGTGGGGGCCACATATCCAACACAAGTAAATCTCAGTAGCTCCTATAAGATCAGACTGGAAGTTATGCTGGGAGAAAGTTCCCAACACCCAAGTCCTCTGTCCTCATGTCGCATGTGACCCTCATGACTCCAGGGCAGCCTGTCTCCAGGCTGGGGTGCAAAGAGGGCCCTTTCTGACTACAGCTTTTTGGCCCAGGGTTCATTCTTCCCAATCTCTCTCCCTTCCAAGTGGACACTGTAATTCAGAATCCAGGGACTTCAGGGTTGGAAAAACCCTTATATTTTTCTTTTTTAACTTTCTATTTCAAATCTCTTTCAGGCTTACTAAGAGTTGCAAAAATAATACAAAACTCCCATACACCCACTACCTAGATTCGCCAAATGTCAAGCCCTCACCTAGCCACATTACAGTGATCAGCACAAGGAAATTAATATGATATTCTTTTACCTAAGCTAGAGACTTTATTCAAACTTCATTAATTGCCTGATTGCAGCCCTGTGTCTGGACCAGTAACACAAGGCACTTAGTTGTTCTGTCTTGCTGGTCTGTTTTGATTTGTATGGTTGCTTTTTCTTTGTCTTTCATAAGCTTGAAGAGTACTTGCCAGTTTTATTGGAGAAACTCCCTTGTTCTGGCTTTGTCTGAAATGTCCTCAGCTTATGTGCTTTGGGCAAATGTCACGTCCTTGTCAGAGGATCATATCAGGGGGCTTGTGGTGTTGCTGGGTCACGTCGGCACTAATCCTTTAGTTAAAGGGATTTCTCAAAGCTTCGGTTTTTCCTCCTGTAATTTATCACTAGGTTGTGGGGAAATACTTTCAGACTATGTCATTATGCTTTATCATCTAACATTTCCCTATTACTTTTAGCTTCCACGGATGAGTCTTACTACTGTGATGATCTGCCAAATGCCGATATTCTCTTTCCACCACGTCTTCCATGTTCACTAATCGGAATGCCATCCTAAGGAAGAACTTTCTCTGCTCACTATTGTTATGGACCCTTATTTGGATTCTTGTTCTGAGTTATTATGACTGTCAATATTTATTTTTCTCAAAATTTCCACAGATTTGGCAATGTGAAGAGGGATGTTCCAAGCTGGATTCTGTGTTTTTTGACATGTTTCCATCTTTTTTTTTTTTAGCACTTTTAGAAAGGAACCTTAAAAATAAATTAATTTATCTTTAAATCACTTCCAAAATGTTCATGGCAAGTTGTCATCCAGCTATTTTCTTTGACAACATTCAGCATTGGAGAAGTGGCATGTCCAGTCCCAAAGTTTCCTTCTCCAGGCAGTTCTGATGGGTCAGTGTGCATATCAGCTCTGACTCTGCTTCCTCAGCCTTCCTGGCTATGGAAATATGTAACTGAAGGTCAGAGGCTGAGCTTGTTCTGACCAAAATTCTCATCTTACTCATGGAGTTATGATACAAGAGCTCAGCCAAAGCTGAAGTCAGATTGCCAAACAACCATCACAACAGAATGGACACTCACCCCTACCCATCCCAGCTCCCTTCCAACAAAGACATCCAACATGGAGCCTCCACCTTGGTTACTACTGTTAGCTTGTACTCAGTCTTGTTTAAGATTTGAGTCTGTTTCTCTGCCTGATGGTGAGACACCATATTTTCTAGTCTTATTTTTCGCTAGTTACATTTCTTTCTAAGGCTGGGTCTTCCTGCAAACTGTACTATATATGTGGTTTCAAATGCTTGGTCAAGGATCAGTTGCATCAGCAACACCCTGAGTTTTTCTTTGCTTTTTTTTTTTTTTTTGGTTTTTTTTTTTTTTACACAACCTGTTTCTGAACAAATCTTCTTCACTAGTAGGGAAGAGGAAGAAGACCTCACTTTACAGGATGATCAGGAAGATTAAGTGAAATTATGTATGTGACTGCTTAGCATTTTGCCTGATCCAGTCTAAATGGCAAACAACACCACCTGCTATTATTATTGTCAATTGTATTATTGTAACTGTTACTACCTTACCTGTGGCATCTCATTAAATTCTTACCATAATCCTTTGAACAGATGAGATACAAAAGCATGTTATAGCTAAAAATAACTATATCTCATCTTTGCCTACAAGCCATTCTCTCAATGCTTGTTCCAAAGGTATTTACCTGATTCTAAGACTGTAACATATTCCTCATGCATTTTGCCAACTTACATTTGAATTTCTGTAGTCTCACCCTGTAGCATCTTTCTCTTACAGTTCCCATTTCACTACAAAAGGAATAATGTCTCTTGTCTTCATTTTTGTAAAATCTCATGAATTATTAATTTTGCAGTCAATATTCTTTATTCTGTTATTGTACTGCTCTGTCCTGCACTTTTTTACATTTTTTTCAGCTTACATGTATACTCATTACAGACACTTCAAACAAGATAGAACATGAGGAGAACAGAAAATATAAATTCCACTATTGAAGGTAATCACAGTGAGTATTTGGCACAAACCTCTCATACACAATATATTTATATAATGGAGCTGATACAGTATAGAAAATGTTTCCGGTCACAAGAATTAGGTAGAAATAATAATTATTTTCATTACTTCATCTGCCAATATATAACATAGCTGTCACTGCTCTTCTGTGAGTTTTTTTAAAAATAACATTTCTGCTAGCCATGGTTTTCTGCCTCCTCTACTTACCAACATTCTGTATTTCCAGTAAACACAGAAACATCTGAAAGCAATTATCTTGAAGCTCTAAAGAGTTATGAAATGCATCGAGAATTATTTTCAGAACTTTAGACTATTTATCATGTAAAGAAACACAAGCCAACTTGCCTTCATCTCCATCATCCCCGAACGGGTAGAAGAGAGCGACAGCTAAGTTGATGAGCACAGCCAGGTTGAAGGAGATGCTTCCCCAGAGCGATATGTGCCTCGAGAACCAGAACAGTGCTGGGTTATCTGGGGAACGACAAGGGTAACGCGCAGAAGAGAAAAATTGACTTTGCTTTCAACATTTGAATCCTCTTGAAACAATGTCTACTAAGCACAATTTTGTAAACTAGTTTGCAAGTATATCTAAGCAAACATCTAATGGAACTGATTTCAGAGGTTTATTATCAATACCACAGGGAATCTCCTACTAGGGCCCTTCTACCTTTTGCCAATTCACACCTAAACCATGAGTCATGTTGCTATTGGCAAAGGTGATCAGAAAATGTGGCTCTGTAATAACTCTAATATATGCCTAAAGTAAACAAGGAGAAAGTTTAGCAGCTGCCTGGCCCCTTTAATTGTAGGCACTGCCATATAACTTAAGAATATCGATAAGTTTGCCCCACTCCTATGCCTTAAAAACATAAAAATACCCCAAAGCCCAAACCACATACAGATACATTTCTGATGAGACTATGACCCAATCACAATTACCTGAAATTCTGAAACTCAACGGCATGGTACAATACCAGTTACTGGGAACTAGTGATGTATCATATTAGAATATTAACTAGGTTTTAAACCTTACTGCTTCCTTAGAACTTGCTGGATTTGCAATAGCTAAAAAAATTGAAAGTTTTAGCAGAACTACAAATAAATGAAAGAGGCTTTTCTGAGCCTTTTCATAACAGGGATTCTGTGCCTGTCATCAGGAATGAAAAAATGCACGTCCTGAACACGGACTACATGAACTCAAAATCAGCTCTTGCCACCTCCCCTAAGTAATTGAGCAGACTTGTCCCACGTGTAAGTCTGACCACATGACTTCTGCAGGTCCTATTCACTCTCCAGCTCTTACTATCCTGATGGCAAGTTTGTAACACTGGAGCAGAAGGGGAAAAACAAATCACTTTCAAAGAGAACTGGAAAACTTTCCAAATAATATTTTGTGTATTCCAGCCTGGGACTTGCTGCTTCTTTGTAAACACGTGTCCTTTCAGTTCATCCTGTTTTCCTTCTGGAATGGATCATGCCAACGCTGGAAAGGACTCTGAATAGCGATGGCATTTAGGCTACTAGTGATTATAAATTGTAAACATCTGCATCTCTCTCATTCCTTTATGTGGACCCCTCATTTTTAAAAGCAAAATATTAAGAGAAAATTGGAAGACATGGAAGCATATATTTGAAATAACAAATCCTTATTTATAGACAGAACTCTTTTGACTGTAACATCATAATAAGCTGCTTCCAAATTTTAAAAGTAAAATTTACATTAGAAATTATTTTAAGATTTGTTTTTTAATATATGACAAAATACTCATCCAAAATAGCCCAGACCTCACAAACATTAGTTCATTATTTATTTTACTTTTTTTTAATCAAGGAGACAAATGGTATTCCATATCTGGAAAAATAACTAAAATTAATATCAAAAAGCAAATTATATTCAGTGTTTGCAAACAGACTTGAAACATGAGAAAATAAGAAATAAGGACTATAGTAGGTTAATTTTTCACTAAAATTATAACATGGCTGTATTTGAATGCATGCATCACAAAATTTATTGTTTGGTCTGGCAAGGTAAATGTGTTGAAAGAATGACTTGCTTTCTAAATGGACCTACTCTAACATGAGACCTTAGACAAGAGAGGAGAGGGTGCTGGAGCCACATTTCTCCATCCCCTTCACAGACTGTCAAAGCCTGTTGTGGGCGACGCACAGACCACAAACATGAAGATGTTGTCAGCTGCAACACAACACACAGCTGCAACACAGCATACAGCCGCAACTTTGCATTTCCTGATACTTATAAAGCTATAGTACCAGTGATACAGGCTGGTCTAACGGGTCCGAGTTTTCTGTTTTCATTAAGCTACAGGTGTCTGGGCTCCCCTCAGACCCTGAGCTTCCATTCTGGAAACTGTAAGTGATTTCCCTATCAGACAAGAAATTAAAACCCAAATTAAATGAATGCTTCATGTATCCCCAAGGACCAATTTATCTACCCTTATGCTCAAGACACACCATTCCAGTTTACTGTACTTACTCCTGATTTTCTTCTGCCACTTCATTTCACTGTAGAGATCTTCTGTTTGCTGGAAAAAGTCATTCACTTTGCTTCCTTGCTCATCCCTCTCGGTTGTGTTGAACACACGGCACTTAGACTCTCGTGTAAGGTATTCACATATATTGGGGACAGGAAAAACAATTTGTTCCATGGTCCTGTCGTGCCGCACAATCTGAAAACATCCAAACATCCATTTGCACGAGTTTTAGCCTTTGGACACTTTCATCTTAGATCGTAATTTGCTTTTAGCATGAGTTTGTTATTTTATGAATGCAGTTATGAAAAGATATGTCAGATGGAAATAGCTAAAATACTACTTTACATTTTTATCTTTAAATAAGAGGAAAGAGCAAACGTATCATAAATACTATCCTGTATTATAAATAACCAATCTTTCTTTGTTCTGGATTGGCATTAAACCCTTGCCACCCATATGTGCTTTCATGAGGTACATCAGAGAGCTGAGAGGGTGTGAATTGGCGAGTGACTGGCTATGCAACCTTACACGCGGTATTTGGTACAAAGTGTCCTGTCCTTGGCCTGTTCTTCTAAAATTGGCTGTTGGGGAACAAATGACATATTTAACATGATGTGCTGCAGTTTTATGGGGAAAGGTGCTTTATATCACTAGGATGTGTTCTTATTCATGGCAAAACATATTTTGTAAGTATAATACCCATTCAGAGTATACACAGGTGAATATTTCTATTACATTTGAACTTCTCTTGCTGGACAGTTTAACTTTAGGGGGAAAAAAACAACAAAAAACAAACAAACCAAAAAAAAACAACAAAACACCAAACAGACAATTTTCAACAGCTTCACTATAAACCAAGTTTTATGCAGATTAAATATCAATGTTCACATATCTATATACTCTGACCGGATCTCGGGAATGAATCAGAATTGATTTAAACTAGCAAGGCTGTTCTACTTCCCTTTACCACTGAGTGGTATGCTAGTGACCATGTGAACACACACACACACACACACACACACACACACACATAAACCAAAAACCAAATACACAACACAAAAGCTCTTTTTTGGCAAGTATCCTCTTTCTTCATGCTTAGAACAAAATTAGTAGATGTGTATGATTCTTGAAACGTTTACAGCCATTTTGCAACTATGAGGATAATGAAGACCCAACAGAAAGATGGGAAAGAGAGTCAAGTATAGAGTACTAGTCTCTCCAGACTTCCCATTATATGAGATAATCAAATACTGTTATTACTTAAGCGGTTGTCAGATTTGTTTTCTGCTACATGTAACTGAAGCTATTCTAAATACTATGTTATATATGCAAACTACATACTACGATACTATCACAAAACAAGCAAAATGAAATTTATGTGTGGTAAAGAAAAATTGCTGAACATAGGTTAAAAAAATCAATTACTCAAAAGCTGAGTTAGATCTATTTAGTGCAGAAAGTAACTGTGTGGTCTACTCTATCCAACAGTGTGAACCTGAAAAATGAAATCTCAGGGTACATAAAAGAATTAATGTCTTGATTACCCTAAGCCCAGCATTTGGTCCCTTTGTGAAGGTCATGTATGATTCTGATTGTCACATTTTACAAAAGGCAATGACAAAATTGAGGAATTACTGAAGGAGACAGGAGTGTATTCCAAAAAGCCAAAGACAGATAATTTTCCAAATACTTTTCAACAAATACTATTCTCTCCTTAGGCAAGGGGCTCTGAGGAACTCAGAGTGAGAAACAACATGAGCCCCCAGGTATGACTCTGTAGTTCCAAAATAACGATGGTTCTTCAAATGCTAGAGCCAAGCTCATATTGAGATGGGAGCCAAAGTTCTGAACACCTGGTGAACACTCCAGCGGGCTAGTGTGCAGACTGCATCTTAAAAACCTTCCTAGTTAGGGGCCTCCCCAGTGGCACAGCGGTTGAATGCTGGGCTGCCCGCAGCTTCTGCAGTGCCAGTTCGATACCTGGCTGCCAGGCGAGGGTCCCACATGGCGCACAGACCTCTCCTGCCGTGCCCACTGCTCCCCTCAGCAGTGTGTTTCGTCAGTCTGCCTGTTCTGCTCCCTGCTCTGGCTCTGGTGAATTCTCGCACCCTCCCGCGCTTCTGACTGTACCCAGTGCTTGTATAAATAAATAAATAAATCTTTAAAAAAAAAAAAAAAAAACCTTCCTAACTAATTGTTACTCAATACTGGATCAATTCCCTCCTGAAGCAGCAAGGTCTCTATCATGGGAAGGATTATCAGAGAGCAATTCCTCCTTGGATGGGTGACCAGAGTAGAAAAATGATGAGGTCATTTTTGTCTCTGCGAGTCTATAACTTATTATTATCATTATTATTCTCAACAACATTCAATACTGTGGCTAGGTTCCAGATGACCACCCCAGTGCCTACCTCAGGTGGGAGACAAGTGACACGTGAGGAGCTAACAACACTCCAGGGTAATATTTTACATAACAGGCGTGTTAAGTTAAAACTAACATGCTGCAGAAGCATAGTGGGATGAAATTAATGACTTGCTGGTCTTAGAATGAGGAGGAGGCCTGGTGACTGTGAAGAATTTAGCTATCCTCCCAGACCACCATTTGAACCCTGGACTTCTGCTATACACAACCTCAGGCATGCCTCCAAGTCCCTCAAGTTCAATATATCCATTAACCAATAAGTGACCTTCTCTGCCTTTTAACTGCCAAAGCTAGGCTCCTTCTGCATAACATCAATTTCTATTTGTGCAAAACCAGGGGCATTCGCTTTCACACCACACATGTGCCATCCAACACCAAGCATCAGGCCATACATACATTTCCTCGAACCTCGTCATCTTCACCACCACAACCTTCTTATTGGATCTACCTACATTCATTCCATTTACTTTTCCAATTCTTTCTTCAAACAGAAACTAAGGTAATCTTTCAAAGATTCATCCCCCAATACCATGCTCTTGAACACCTTTCATTAATTTACTTCTACCTGAAATCCTGTGCCCAATCTTTAGTAATGAGAAACTTCTGCTCAATCTTAATCTTTATGGCAGCCTTCTCTGGGAAACCTATTCTGAAGTTCCCAGACATACTAATCACTTCTCTATATTCTCTGGGCTCTTTGTTCTACACTGATATGCAGAATTATCTGGATAGACAGTGAATTCTTAGTAAACATTCACTGAATTTGTGTATTTACAGTTGGCTCCTCATTGCTGGGAACTAATAAAATTCCAACTTCTAACAGCAGCCCCCATCTCTCACACACAGGCATCAGCCCATACCTCATCTCTGCTCTTCCCTTCCCCATCTCTTGGGATCATCTAGCTTTGTATTTTGGCTTCTGGGACCATTCTCCGCAACTTCATGGTTTGACAGTCTACTTCTATGAATTTCTCCAGCTTCCTGATTTTGCCAGTCTCCCAGGCCCCACGCGCCTGATATTATTAGGCAACATTTCTGCGGCTGGTCCATCTCATGGGTTCCACGAAGTCAGACTCCCAACAAAGCTGCAGTTTTTGCATGTTTATAACTGTGAGCAAGGGATCCACTTGGCATACAAGCTATGACTGTCATGATTCCAGAAGCTTGGCCATGGAAACAAGAAGGTAAGTAAGGCTGGATCCTGACAGTTAAGAGCAGTGACACTGTCATGCACTCTGCCAAGGGAATGAACACAAAGTGGTAAAGGACAAGTTACAAACCTCATCTGCTTGCTTCTGCTCAGTTAGCACTGCCAGCTGGAGACTGAATGAAAGCACAGTGAGCAAGTGGCACAAGATGGGTCCCACACACGAGTGCAAGTCCATGACAACCTGCACCCCTGAACCTGCCACTGAATCAAGTCTCACTTATAAGATGGGGGTGGGGAGGCCAAATGCTGCACACTGAGAAGGGAAACTCCTAAGCCATTTCAAGTTTATGCTACCAAGTGAAAAATTCACCACTACCTCCCCTGTCTCCTATGTATTCGTCTGCTTTCTGCCACAGAAACCTCTATTTTGTTAAACCTCTTAGAGCTTTTGAAAAATAGACCTTTTCCTGAATGATGGCTGCTGTTACAGTGCCCCTAACTCTAAACTATCACTGCTCTGTGAGGATTGCTTCCAAGACCAAAACTCAAGACAAAAGCCACCTGTTAATTACAAAAGGAAGTTCACATGCAGCCCAGCTTAAAAAAAGAAGACAACTTTGAAAAGACAAGCACTTCCATTCCTCAGAGCTCATCCCTCATCTTCTAGCAGACACTGCTACAATTTATGTCTCTCATTCTGCTTCCTTGCTGGAGAACAAGATCATGAAAATGGTCTGACGTGCAAAGTAAACACATCTTTTCTGCCAAGGGTGTCCCCTTGCAGAAATAGCGCAAGGTTACCTCGATTTGGGCCGTGTGGTTGGCATAATGCTTCAGGGCTTCATCGCCATCGTCTGGATCTGATCCTGGTTTAAGCATCTGCTGTAATAGTTTGTTGTGACGGGCCAACTAGAGGGACAAAGAAGGGAAAAAAAGGTTTTAGGTCTTTTTTTTTTTTAAAGATTTATTTATTTATGCATACAAGGCCAGAGACGTGTGGAGTGAGAGGATTCACCAGAGACAGAGTGGGGAGCAGAACAGGCAGATGTACTGAAACACACTGCTGAAGGGAGCAGTGGGGCGAGACAGGAGAGGTCTGCTCGCCATGTGGGTAGCTCCCTGGCCAGGGATAGAACTTTGCTGCAGTGGCTGCGGATTGCTCCATAGTGCTGTGTCTTAACCCACTGTGCCACCAGGGAGGCCCCTAGGTTTTAGGTCTTAAGTCTTCCCTGGGTCACTCTGAAATTACACCATCCACTTGTACACGTAACTTCACAGTTCTGGGGTTAATGTCGATCACTGCATTTGAGGATGGCATGTCTGTTTGAAAGGCAGACTCAGTAAAGTCACAAGGATAAGCTATTGTTACTACATCAATCTTCCATGGTTATTATTTGGTAATATATGTGCTCTCAGCATGAGAAACTGTCTCACCCGGAGTAGGTGCTCAACTGGTATTTGCTGATTAAATGTATTGGGTTGCTGGAAAAATCATGATGCATTTTGGCATAGAAAACATAGAAAAACAGAAAAAATATGTCACGACTTTTCTGACAACTGAATATATCTTCAATAAATATGTAATTGTGCCAGGAAAAAAAGCCCATGGTGACAGGTAACTGATACTTCCTATTAGAAATTTAAACTACGTGCACTTATGAAACATCTTGAGCAGTGGTGCGATAGCCCAGCAGGCAGCAGTACCACTATAGATAGGGGCTTCCTACGCCCATAAGATCAGGATCTGTATTTCAGAAGCTCCTCTAACAACACTGAATCAAAAGCGTTGTTAGTCACTTGTCATAATGTCTTATTCTAATGCACTTTCAGAATATGTCTACTTTGTGGGTACAGATCTCGCAATGGAACAGAAACTGCACAAAACTTTCACCATTGATTATCTTAAACTGCTGATGGTGGAAGTCACCTTGCTTCTTATTTGAATGTCTCCAGCCCATGCTGGCCATTTCTATTACTAGTGTGAGGCGCTTTGCCATCACACGTCACTCTTACGGTTTTCTCGAACAATTCCTGAGGTCTTGTGATGTCTTGTCTTTAATCTTACACGCTTTCCATTTATGCCTCCAGTTCCCTGAAGGCTTCAGGATCACAGAATCTGCCACAGAATTCTTTTCTTCTGAGCACTGTTCCGTGCCAGGCACTATCCTAGACACTTAGGCATTTGATCCTACCAAGAAATCCGAGCCTGGGCACTATTATTATTTGTTTGCCAGACAGGAGCGCTGAGACACAGAGCATTAAAGGACTTGTCTGTGATAACACAGCTGGGTAAGGATAGTGCCGGCGCTGAACTTGAGCAGTCTGGTTCAGGGTCAGTATCCTCACCAACATTAGAGAGCAATAAACAAGTCCTTGTATTATTCATGAGCTGTGAATACAAATTATGAGTATAAAAAAGGGAGATAAATTTTCAACAGTAATCCAGACTGATAAAATCAAATAAGCATTCTCTTGTAAGTGATAATTTGGTAAGTTGAATATTTATTCCATTGATGTTGCTCCGGAGCAAATCACTTTTGAAAACTATCCTTTTAAAATTGATTTTCAGGGATATGTATAAATCACTCAAGAAAAGCATGCCTCTTTTCCATTTCCATTTTATTTTTGACTTCCATGTGAATTACACAGATTTTTATTACAAACTATCATGAAACTTGCTGTAACTTGCAGGTGTGGCTAAAAATCTAAATGAGTTTCAAAGGATAAAATTATTGTGATCATGTAGACCCCTCCGCCTGTGTTATCAGAAGTGGCCTGTCCCTGAAGTTAAAACTCATGTTTCCAGAGTGGGTCTGGAGTCATGAGAGAAAAAGAGCAGTTAAGCGTGACCCCCAACTTACTGCCCCAGGTGACTGAAAGTTCAGAGATGCCATTTACTAAAGAAAAATACTGGAGAAGCAGATGAAGGAGGAAAGAATCGGGACTTTGGTTCTGGACACTGGAGGCTTTAGACGCTGCCCACCAGGGGACCACTACCAGGCTGCTGGACATGACTGTCAGGAGCTGTGGGGAGTGGTCAGGGTTGGAGGTATCCATTTAGTGCTATCAGAATATGTCTAATATTTAAAATCAGGAGCTTTAATCAGGTTGCCGAAAAGTGAGTTTAGACAGAGAAAGAGATCTAGGGAACTCCAAGAGAGGTTCAGAAGACCAAAGGCATCCACAGGAGATAGAGAATGTGAGCCAGTGAGGCAGGAATGAAGCCAGGGAAATCAGGTGACCTGGTGGCCCAAAGAGCAAAGGACTTCAAGATGGAGGGAGAGGTCATCGGAGCCAAAGGTCACTGATGGTCGAATGAAGTGAGGGCTGGTTCCAGTGACTTGAAGTCACTGGTAACACTGAGAGCAGCAGTTTCAGGCAGTGGTGGACACCAAAGTCTACCTGTGGGGAGTTTCAACGAGAATGTGTGCAGGGAAAGTAAGAACCATGGGCAGAGCATTCATAAGGGGGAGTCAAGAAACAGGACAGAGGCTCAAGAAAGGGAGAGGGTGAAGGAGGGTGCTTATTTTTTTTCCAGACAGATAGGACATCTGCGAGAAAATGTCTTGACAAGCTAGTACATAAACAGGAGGGCCTAAGGTGGGAAGGAAAAAATTCACCCCCAGTGGCAGCAGAGATGGGGACGGACTTACTATGACAGTGGGAAGGTGAAACTCCTTTCTGGTTATTTTCTTTGTCTCAATGGAGTAGGAAGCTGATAATGAGGATGAAAAGAGGTGCTGGAAATTTGGGGGAGAAAGAGAAGATATGAAAGTAAGCCAGGGAAAGTGCAAGGACTTGAAAATGTCACAGGGTACCCTTTCTGTGACAGTGAGACCAGTGGCACGTTGGTGTGTGTTTCTCTGGCGACATTCAGCCTTCCGAGCTGAGGCAGGGAGCAGGCAGAGTGTGTAACTGATGAGACCGTGATTTGGCTGGGGGAGGTAAACAACACGGAAAAGCAAGATGCATAGAAATTAAAAGTCTATACAAAGCCTTTACACAGGACATTGGAATCTAAGCCAAAATTGGAAGGAAAAACAGCCAGGAGGGACAGTGAGCAGGTAATTGAATCAGAGAATGGTAGCTTCTAAAGTTAAACAAAAGAGGTAATAGGTGGGGGTCTGGAAGGAAGTGCTAGTTAGGGTGAGGCAGTCATAGAGTGATGCTGACGGCTCAGGGACGGCGCAGACAGCAGGCTGAGCAGTGACTAGGGCAAAGGCGCCCATGTCTGTCCTCTCATTGCTTCCCACACCCCCACTCTGGTCTGAGCCTCCAGTTAATAAATAAATTATAGGAAATTTACAGAGAATTAGAGAAAGAGATCTAGGGAACTTTAAGAGGTTCAGAAGATCAAAGGCATTGGTAAAGAAGATGGATAACGGGGACCAGTGAAGCCAGGGAAGCTGGGTGACCTGGTGGCCCAATGACCAAAGGACTTCAAGATGGAGGGAGAGGTCATCAGGCCCCATGTCACTGAGAGTTGACATGAGAACTGGCTGGAATTCTGAAGCTGCCTTTCTACTGGTCTCCCTGCTTCACTCTTGTCCTCCAGAGTCTGCATCCTTCTCACCAGACTTCCTTTCTGCTCAAAACCCTCTGATGCCCCCCCCATGCACTGTGAGTTACAGCCCCTTCCCCGCACAGCCAGGAGGGACTATAGACTATGCCCCCACTACCTGTCTGAACTCCCTCGTGCAGCTCCCCCTGCTGACTCAGACCCTGCATGCTGGGTACCTGACTGTGCCATCAACCCAAGGAGCACACGTGCATCTAGGGGTGCCGTTCTCTCTGGATTCTCTTCCTCCAGATGCCCCTGTGACTGGCTGCCACCTACCTCATGGCTCTTTTCATGTGCTGTCTTGTCAATAACCACACTTCAGCAGATCAACTCACCCATGTCCACCAACACATCACACCCATTTCCTGCTCTGTTCTTCTCCACTCTCCACAAACTATCATTTGACAGCCCGTTTTTCAATTGCTCTATTTATTAGCTTTCTCTCCCTTTCAGAAGGTAGGATGCAGATTTTCTTCTAGCTTGTTCACTGCTGTATTTCCAAGGCTTAAAACAGTGTCTGGTACATAGTAGATGCTCAGTACATATTTGCTTAGTTAAGTCCATGCAAATTGAAAGTAAATCTTTAAATGTGAACAAGACCTTGTCAAGGTGAGACTTATATGTAAAAAATTTCCTGTAAGGGCTTCCCTGGTGGTGCAGGGGTTGAAGTTTCAGTGCGATCAAGCTATTGCCAGCCACTGTGGCATGAGTTTGATCCTCGGCCAGGGAGCTGACCCTCATGGCATAGCAGACCTCTCCTGTCTAGTCCACTGGTGCCCTCAGCAATGTATTTCAGTACATCTGCATGTTCTGCACCCCACTCTATCTCTGGTGAATCCTCTCACCGCACACACCTCTGGCATACACCCCAGGTCATCTATAAATAAATCTTTTTTAAAAAGTCCCTTTAAAATTTTTTTTTCCTGAAAATTTATTTATTAGAAAATTCTTACTTCTTTACAGTCATTTGAAAATGTCAAAATTAGAAGGCAAACTGTCTTCTAATTATTTGAAGGAATAATTAGAATTATTTGAAGGAAACTAACATGATGTATGTAATAGCATAAATCTATGCAAATAATTTTCACTTAATGTACAGCTTAAGCAAAATATATTAGGACCTCTTTAATTCCTGTTGTCTTAGTGAGATGGTTCTAGATTTGTTGTTTTATTGTAGATAACAGGTACTCTTTTTCTTAAAGATTTATTTATTTATTTATACAAGCACTGGGTACAGTCAGAAGAGTGGGAGGGTGACAGGATTCACCAGAGCCAGAACGGGGAGCAGAACAGGCAGACTGATGAAATATACTGCTGAGGGGAGCAGCGGGCATGGCAGGAGAGGTCT